CCAAGACTACAGAAAGAAGGATTCTGGGTGGACTCCTCCTGAAGGTTGAAACAACAAACTGGACTTCTACATAGAGTGCTTCTGCCGACGTGCACAGGCTGAAATTGTGGAAAAGCAGCATCACTTGCCCCACAACCTCAGCTGTGCAGAACAGAATGCCATCCACAGCCTCAGAAACAACTCTGACATCATAATCAAAAAGGCTGACAAAGGAGGTGCTGTCGTCATCATGAATAGGTCGGAATATGAACAAGAGGCTGCTAGGCAGCTCTCCAACACCACTTTCTACAAGCCATTACCCTCTGATCCCACTGAGAGTTACCAAAAGAAACTACAGCATTTGCTCAAGAAACTCCCTGAAAAAGCACAAGAACAAATCCGCACAGACACACCCCTGGAACCCCGACCTGGGGTATTCTGTCTGCTACCCAAGATCCATAAACCTGGAAATCCTGGATGCCCCATCAACTCAGGCATTGGCACCCTGACAGCCGGATTGTCTCGGTATGTAGAGTCCCTCCTCAGGCCCTACGCTACCAGCACTCCCAGCTGTCTTCGAGACACCACTGACTTCCTGAGGAAACTACAGTCCATCAGTGATTTTCCTGAAAACACCATCCTGGCCACTACGGATGTAGAAGCCCTCTACACCAACATTCCACACAAAGATGGACTACAAGGTGTCAGGAACAGTATCCCTGATAATGTCACAGCAAGCCTATGGCTGAACTTTGTGACTTTGTCCTCACCCATAACTATTCCACATTTGGGGACAATGTATACCTTCAAATCAGCGGCACTGCTATGGGTGCCCACATTTTTATGGCTGACTTAGAACAACGCTTCCTCAGCTCTTGTCCCCTAATGCCCCTACTCTACTTGCACTACATTAATGACATCTTCATCATCTGGACCCATGGAAAAGAAGCCCTTGAGGAATTCCACCATGATTTCAACAATTTCCATCCCACCATCAATCTCAGCCTGGACTAGTCCACACAAGAGATCCACTTCCTGGACACTACCGTGCTAATAAAGCGATGGTCACATAAACACCACCCTATACCGGAAACCTACTGACCGCTATTCCTACCTACATGCCTCCAGCTTTCATCCAGACCACACCACATGATCCATTGTCTACTGCTAAGCTCTACGATACAACCGCATTTGCTCCAACCCCTCATACAGAGACAAACACCTACGAGATCTCTATCAAGCATTCTTACAACTACAGTACCCACCTGCTGAAGTGAAGAAACAGGTTGACAGAGCCAGAAGAGTACCCAGAAGTCACCTACTACAGGACAGGCCCAACAAAGAAAATAACAGAACGCCACTAGCCATCACCTTCAGCCCCCAACTAAAACCTCTCCAACGCATCATCAAGGATCTACAAGCTATCCTGAAGGATGACCCATCACTCTCACAGATCTTGGGAGACAGGCCAGTCCTTGCTTACAGACAGTCCCCCAACCTGAAGCAAATACTCACCAGCAACCACACACCACACAACAGAACCACTAACCCAGGAGCCTATCCTTGCAACAAAGCCCATTGCCAACTGTGTCCACATATCTATTCAGGGGACACCATCATAGGGCCTAATCACATTAGCCACACTATCAGAGACCTTTTCACATGTGATATATGCCATCATGTGCCAACAATGCCCTTCTGCCATGTACATTGGTCAAACTGGACAGTCTCTACATAAAAGAATAAATGGATACAAATCAAACGTCAAGAATTATAACATTCAAAAACCAGTTGGAGAACACTTCAATCTCTCTGGTCACTCGATTGCAGGCCTAAAAGTTGCAATTCTTCAACAAAAAAACTTCAAAACCAGACTCCAACGAGAGACTGCTGAATTGGAATTAATTTGCAAACTGGATACAATTAACCTAGGCTTGAATAGAGACTGGGAGTGGATGGGTCATTACACAAAGTAAAACTATTTCCCCATCTTTATTTCTTCCTCCCCCCCCCCCCGCCCCCGTTCCTCAGACATTCTTGTCAACTGCTGGAAATGGCCCACCTTGGTTATCACGACAAAGGGTTCTTCCCCCCCTCCCCCCCGCTTACCTTAAGTGATCACTGTGGTTACAGTGTGTATGGTAACAGCCATTGTTTCATGTTCTCTGTGTATATAAATCTCCCCACTGTATTTTCCACTGAATGCATCCGATGAAGTGAGCTGTAGCTCATGAAAGCTTGTGCTCAAATAAATTGGTTAGTCTCTAAGGTGCCACAAGTACTCCTTTTCTTTTTGCGAATACAGGCTAACATGGCTGCTATTCTATACAGTATGAAGCTGGTATCAGAGATTTTTGTTGTGTTGCTTATTGTATAAATGGTACCTTATGGCAGTGAAGATGATAAATTTTAAAAAGGTATTGGGGAGGCTTAGGTTGTTTATATCAAGCTTGCATAGAGAGGGGAAACGTCTTATATCTGTGGAGAGAGTCCCCAATATTTGAATACTGAAAAGACCTCATTAATCAAATCAAAATCAAACCATTAGTTGTGACTCAGGTATGATTGTTAGTAACAGGCCTTCACTAAATAAATTAAAGAACAGTGACATAATTTTATCATTATGAGTGCCAGGCAGACGTTTGTGCCTAGATCTTCAGAACGGCACAAGTTTAGTTCAGTATGGCACAACAATATTAGTATGGTAGGTTTTGGAGAATTACTTATGAATATGATATGTGACTACAATTAATTAACTGTGTAGAAAAAAGAGATCCAATTATTTTCACAGTTATGACTCACTTTTAATTCTGTATGGTAACACATCATAATGTATTAATAAACATCATCTTTCTTTATATTCCCATGCCCTCAGGTGCATAATAGGGTGTTCATCAGTTTCCACCATTTATTTAGGTCTTGTGCTGGTCTGTTCAGGCCTCTTGAGTGTCATGTTGATGGATTTGGCTTCTTTCTCTATAGTTCCGTGTAATGTTTCTCTAGGTTGCCCTCTTTTTCTCTTCCCAGGTGGTGTCCATAATATCATTTGATGTGGCAGTCATGTTGGTGGCATCCTTAAAGTGTGTCCTAAATATGTTCATCGTCATCTGACCATGTTTTGGTGCTTTAGGTTTGTTTACTCTACTCAGTTTCTGATGTTGCAAGAAACTCTTTCCAATGGACTCTGAAGATCTTCCACAGGCATTCACTTTGGAATTAGTTGATCTTCTTATCAATTTCTGCTGCAGATTTCCACAACTCTGCTTTATAAAGGAGGACAGACTTGGTGGTGTTAAAAATTAGTAATTTTGTATCAGTGCCAATTATGCTACTTTTCTAAATCTTTTCAAGTTTGTGAAAGTTGTTTGCTGCTTTTGATATTCATTGCTTGATATCTAGCATGGTGTCACCATTGTTTCACTTCTCACTCCCTAGATATGTAAAATGACTTACTTCTTCTAGTGTCGCCTTTTGCTCTGATGGTTGCTCTCGGGACGTTGATGGCCAAATATTTTGTCTTCCTCTTGTTGATAAACTTGTTTTGCAGTGTCTGCCAAAATCTGTGTCTTTTCTTCCATTAAGCAATATGTTGAACGCAGGAGGATGTCATCAGCAAAATCAAGATTACCCAATTGTTCTAATATAATGTGGTATATTTTATAAAATAGCAAAATCTTAATAAACTTCACTAAGCTTCTGCTATGTTTTTCTGAGAAATGGCTATTATACAATGTGTGGATTAGCAAAATTCTATTGTAGTTTGGGGAGTGGGAAATGGAGAAATCATCCTTCCTAAATCTAATCCGTCTATTTTTTTGTCTCGTTTTGCTTGCATGCGCTATGGGGGATGAAAGGGATATTAACTGTGGATATTTTGAGACCCATGTAATATGCTTCTTGAAGGTCCCCTAACTTGTTCTTGCATTTGAGTTGAAGCCTTATTCTCTACATGTGATTTGAGCATTCACATTTAATATAACTTTTTAATGACCATAAGCCTGGCGGCAGCTCTTCTGGTCATTATTTTATTTACGTTATTTCAGACTGCAGGGGACAACCAAAACCTTTTTGGTGGTAGTTCACTCAAACAAGGTTTATTTAAACTTACTTACTGCACTTACCCCGAGGAGTATTTTGAAAGCTGACAGAGGAGCTAGATCTTGAGGATTTGTATACAGAAGAATTTCAATATAGATCAGTGGAAAGATGTATTGTGTGATTCCTGTGTGCTCATATTAGACCATTCAGGAAGGTACTTAAACATACTTTGATCATGTGAGTAATCAGTTGAGGTCAGTGGATACATTAAAGCTAGGTATATGCTTAAGTACCTTCCTGAACCAGAGCCACAGTCAGGTAAGTGAAAATATAGAAAAAGATTTAACAAAGCACATTATGTACACATATTTACTAAAGCAGTGGTCAGCAATAATCCCTTCCGGATTTACACAGGAGCTACATTCAGCTCAACCACCAAAACTGGTTGGAAAAACAGAGCCAGCCTGTATAGTTAATTTGGTTTCACCTTTTCTTTACCCATTAGTTGAAGAAATGACACTTGTCTCCCAGTAAGGGAAATGGGTGTTGGGGGGGGGGGGTTGTGTGTGTATATATATGTACTGTGTGTATATACTTATCAAGATTGTTTTGTTACTTTTTAGCTATTTTCAATTACTTTTATGAAGTAATAAAATAAAATGCAAGAAAAATGGAAGCATTCATGTATGTATTCATTATGTAACAAAAAATGCTTAATGATAACAATTGAATCTTTGTGTTTATTAAACACAATAGGAAAATTAAATATTGGGACTTTTTTAAAAAAAAATCATTTCTTCAGACACGTCTGAAATTATAAAAAAAAAAGAATTGCTAAAAAGGGGCTTTTGTTATTCTTGTACTGCTCCATCTATACTGATTAAAATGTGACTATAACCATATATAAAAGGAATGGAAAAAATACCTCTCAGTGGGAAAAGGGCCCTAAATCAAGACTGCTATAGGTAATTTTTTTTCTTTAGTCCAACAGGCAACCTGCCAAACTGAATTTACTAACCTGCCAGGTGAAGCCAAATGCAGAAGATAAGAAGTCTTTTGATCTGATATCACGTATGTGACATTTTAAGTGAATAAATATTTACACCATTCATTATCAACTAGTCTATTGGCTGGGATTTTACAGAATGTTGTTGTATAGCAAAATAATTACAAGGTTCTATTTTAACTAGAAGTGAGTCTAAAATGCAAAATTAAGCTCCTAATCCAAACTTGTACAAAGTTTTGTGGATATTTGGATCCAGCTCTGATTTTGACTCAAGGACCAAGACTATATACATCTTCGTATGGAAAGTTTTCTAATATCTATACTGTGTATCTGTTGCAAACCATAAGATGCACTGTGCACAAAATTAACTGTTATGAAGAGTAGCAACTATGCGTGAACGTGTTTGCTTAGATTCAGTCAGGTAATTATTCTGCAGTTTTAACAGTCTATCAGTACTTGTTCAAAATACCCCCTATACTGTGTGTGGAACTTCAGTTTCATCTCCTTCATAAAAGATAGCCTTTAACCATTTAGTAATACCTGTGCCTGTCTATCTTGCGTTGTGTCATAGATAGGGCTCTGTGTTCGTCACAGCAGTCACGGATTCCCTAACTTTCTGTGACCTCCTTCACTTCTGTAGAGGCCAGTGTGGCTGACCCCAGGCTGCTGAAGCAGCTGGCTCCAGGGCCAGCTACTCAGTTAGCCCTGGGGACAGCCACACCAGCCGCTGCTGGAGCGACTCTGCAGCCAGCCACTCAGGCGGCCCCACAGCCATCCGCACCAGCCCAAGTAGTAGTCCCCGGGGCGGCTGGAGCAGCTGTGCACCTGCCCCCACTCTCCCCAGCTGCGGCCCCGTGGGGCATGCTCCATACAGCAGCAGTCCCCTGGGGTGCACCCCCCGCAGCAGCAGCTGCCCCAAGATTTAGTCAGGGGTATAGTATAAATCATGGACAGATCAGGGGCCTGAATTTTTGTTTTTGTCCGTGACCTGTCCATGACTTTTACTAAAAATACCCATGACTAAATCATAGCCTTAGTCATTGAAGTTAATTTTGATGGTGATAAAAACAATAACATTTTCTTTGTGTTGATTTTATTTTTTTCCAAACAAAATGTACCTATTTTGGGTTAATTTTGCCCTAATTTTGTCTTGTGCAACTCCTTTTACTTCAAAAGGGATTTTACAAGGCAGAATATGCCCCATATAGTGTTTTTCTATGCATTCTAAAAAAACAAGGGTGTCTGTTTTCAACAAATTGACTAAGATGTGGCATAAAATATGCTGGCTGTACACACCAAAAAAAAGTGAACTTAATGTAACTCAAAAAGTATACTGCCTCACCTCTTCGGTATTACATTAACAATATCTGTCACCAGACCCTCATTTGATACAAATGACTTATACTGTCAACAATTCTGTTGCTTTATTAAAAAGTTAGTAACTGAAAAATAGAGCTGTCATAGGTTTACTGACTTATGTTAACATATGTCCTTACTTGCTGAATATATTTTGGTAACAAATGCTGTTTTGGCATCTTAAAATTAATTTCAAATCTGTCAGGTGTGTTCAACATTAGAAAGATTTTTGTTTGTATTTCAGATAACAGAACATACCACTTTCAGGCGGAGGATGAACAAGAGTATATAGCGTAAGAATGTTTACACTGTCATCAAGATATTTTTAAATCTGTCTCTAGAAATATGCAAATCATTTCTTTGCATTGAAGAAGTCACTGGCAAAACTACTTTTGTTCAATTAGTGGAAAAACACTATATGCCTTTGTTCCCTGGATTTTTTGTTATGCTGAAAGTCGTAAGTGAAAACTGCCATTCATCAGAGTGAAGAGTGGTAAAGGTTACAAAAGGTTTGATGCCTACAAAAACTCCATGAGAAAGGGGGGGAGGGGAAGAGACAATAGAATAATTATCTGTACCCTATCTCACCTTTTTCACAGCCGAAAAAACCATATATCTGCCACTTTAGATGTAAGAGTACGGTACTGGAAATGGGAGACAGAAAACACCTTCTCTTTGAGTCTTACTATACTTTGGAATCTAGTCATTTACGTTAGTTACTTTATTAATGCAGTTACTTGCCCCCATAGACTATTTCATTAGACTTATCCATCTACCTGCCAGTGCAGAACTCTCTAGAACTTTCTAGTGTTCTCTGATTCACATCTCTCTGTTTGTCTTTTTCGTATTGCTTTTGGTAGCCATAGGGCTTTGATAGCAGTGTGGTTGTGTAGAACAGTGGCTCTCAAGCCTTTCCAGATTACTGTACCCCTTTCAGGAGTCTGATTTGTCTTGCGTAGCCCCAAGTTTCACCTCACATAAAAGCTACTTGATTACGAAATCAGACGTAACAATGCAGAAGTGTCACAGCACACTGTGACTGAAAAATTTCTTACTTTCTCATTTTTACCATATAATTATAAAATAAATAAATTGGAATATAAATATTGAACTTTTACATTTCAGTGTATAGTATGTAAAGAAATATAAACAGGTCACTGTCTGTATGAAATGTAGTTTGTACTGACTTTGCTAGTGCTTCTTATGTCGCATGTTATAAAACTAGGCAAATATCTAGATGAGTTGATGTACCCCCTGGAAGATCTCTGCATACCCCCAGGGTATGAACCACTGCTGTAGAACATTGCACTCCACTGCCACCTGACAATTCCCGTAAGAAAGCTGCTGGTGGAATGCCCAGATTGAGGTCTGGTGCCTGCCTGCCTCCCTCCTTTCAGCTTCACTATTCCTTACCTGCTCACCTGTATTCTAGTTTAACACCAGATTGCTTCTTGTACGCTTGCTGTCTTGTATGCATTTGAGAAGCCTTTACAGCTGATTGGCAGGTGAAGAAGTAGATGACATGGGGAAGCAGTGGTTTAGGGCCCAGTCACAGACAGGGAGTGAGCAGGGAAGGAGCCTCATGTTGCACATGGAATCCTTCAAAGCTTTAGGCCAGTCCTGCAGGTTGTGAAAGGTGACGGTTCTGTCATGTTTACAGCTGACTTTGCACATTGTCTGTTTGGGAAGCACCATGTTATTTTCCCTTCATTTGTTGGGTGAGAAGAAAATAATGTCATTTAAAATATTTAGTCAGCAATGTCCTGGATGCACAATTGATCTTGAAATATTTGCCGTAAATTAGCTTTTCCTATATTTGTTTATTTGAAAGATCAAGCTATAATATATTTCATTTTCTTTATTAGTCTTTGTATTTTGAGACCCAGTCATTTAAAGTAGTTATTTGTTACTGCGTATATTTTCCCCTCTGATTATTTTGTCAGACTAGTTTGAGATCCCACAATGATTTTATTTCCTGTAAGCTTCAGTATGTTTTATCAAAATAAAGGAATACGGTTCAACTTCAGTAGCTCAGAGAATGAATTTGTTCTGCAGTATTTTTTTAATATTTTTGTTGCTAAATGGAACTTATTAGCCCTACAAATAGATTTGAGAAGTTTACTGGATTTAGAGGTAGTAAATTGATGAAAACTAATGACATATTGCCTGTTTTGGAAATACAAACCACTAAAAACTACAACACATTCCTGTAGTTCTGCTTATTCAAGTGCTGTGTGTTTTGGACAAGTACTTATAAGTGACCCAAATAGCATTAGATATGTCTGTGTAATTTTGTGAATTTGATCGGTGATACAGCTGTTTCCAAGTCTAATATATCTTTTTTGTGATGGGGCAACCAGATTTGCAGGCAGTGTTCAAGGTGTGGGCATACCATGGATTTATATAGTGGCATTATGATATTTTCTGTCTTATAATGAAACCCTTTCCTAATGGTTCCTAACATTCTGTTAGCTTTTTTGACTGCCACTGCACACTGAGCAGATGTTTTCAGAGAACCATCCTCGATAACGCAAAGATTTCTTTCTTCAGTGGTAACAGCTAATTTAGACACCATCGTTTTATATGCATAGTTGGGATTGTTTTCCAATGTGCATTACTTTGCACTAATCAACTGAATTTCATTTGCCATTTTGTTCTCCAGTCACCCAGTTTTGTGAGATTCCTTTGTAACTCTTTGCAGATAGGTTTGAACTTAACTATCTTGAGTAATTTTTTATCGTTTGCAAATTTTGTCACCTCACTGTTCACCCCTTTTCTTCAGATCATTTAGGAATATGTTGAATAGCACTGCTCCCAGCACAGATCCCTTGGGGACCCTGCTATTCACCTCTCTCCATTATGAAAACTGACCATTTATTCCTGCCTTATCTTTTAACCTATTACTGCCTCCTGAGAGAACCTTCCCTCTTATCTCATCACTCCTTATTTCTCTTAAGAACCTTTGGTGAGCTTTTTGAAAGTCCAAGACACTATATCCACTGGATCACCCTTGTCCACGTTTGCTGACACCATGAAAGAATTCTGACACACATGATTTCACTTTACAAAGGTGCATTGAGTATTCTCCATGAGTGCGTCTCATAATTCTGTTCTTTACTAGTTTCAGCCATTTGCCTGGTACTGAAGTTTGGCTTACTGGCCTGTAATTGCCAGTATTGCCTCTGGAGCCTTCTTAAAATTAACATTACAATTAGCTATGATCCAGTCATCTGGTAGAGAGGCTGATTTAAGTGATACCAGTTAGTAGTTCCACAATTTCATATTTGCGTTTCTTCAGAACTCTTGGATGAATATCTGTTTAGGGCAACGATTTAATTTACCAATTTATTCCAAAACCTCCTCTATTGGCATCTCAATCTGGGACAGTTCCTCAGATTTGTCACCTAAAAGGAATGGTGCCAATGTGGGAATCTCCCTTACATCCTCTTCAGTGAAGACCAAGGCAAAGAATTCATCTAGCTTCCCTGCAAAGGCGTTGTCTTCCTGGAGTGCTACTTTAGCACTTCGATCATCCAGTGTCCCCACTGATTGTTTGGTAGTCTTCCTGTTAGTTTTTGCTGTTTGTTTTTGTGTCTTTTGCTAGTTGCTCTTCAGATTCTTTTTTTGGCCCACTAATTATATTTTTACACTTGATTTGCCAACGTTTATGCTCCTTTCTCTTTTCCTCAGTAGGATTTGACTTCCAATTTTTAAAGGATGCCTTTTTGCCTCTAACTATTTCTTTTAGTCTGTTGTTTAGTCATGGTGGCATTGTTTTTTTGGTCCTCTTGAGGTTTTTTGTGGGAGGGTGCTGGGGGTATACCATTAGTTTGATCCTCTACTATGGGTGTTTTTAATTAGTCTCCCTGCAGCTTACAGGCATTTCACTCTTGTTACTGTTCCTTTTAATTTCCATTTAACTAGCTTCCTCATTTTTGTGTGGTTCCCCTTTTTGAAGTTAAATGCTACTGTGGTGGGTTCCTTTGGTATTCCCCTCCTCCCAAGGATGTTAAATTTAATTACTTTATGGTTGGTATTACCAAGTGGTTCTTCAAGTAGTGTCCCTGTGGGTGCTTCACTGTATGAGAGTTCCACTGTAGGTGTACTTGGATTCCTGTGCTGCTGATCAGAGATCTTTATGCCCTGCCACGAGGCTAGTCAATGCGCACGGACTAACGCCTGTCAGTTCCTTCTCTACGACTCCTGGCTAGAGACAGAGCTATTAACAGTCCATTAGCAACTATTACCTCATGCTTTCTTTGTAGCCTAGACTAGTTTTTAGTAGTAGTCTAGTGTCTTTTATTTTTTTCCTTATATTCTAAAATATATCTATACTTATATGTAGAGAGATATAGATAGAATTTAATTTCTTTCTTCCCACGCTTCTTATTGGGGACCCTTCCCCCCCAAATGGGGCATGCCCAGTTCTCCAGGCTTCAAGAAGTGCTTGTCCTGCAATGACGCTATCTTCATTGCAGACGCACTCATGGTACATTCATTGCCTCAGGAAAGGACACGTTTAAAAGTGCACTCTTTGCCAGTAGCTTAGATCTTGGTCTCGCAAGGACAGAGAGCTAAGGCAGAAGATTATATTCATGGAGGTAGCTCTGAGACCTTCTCTGGACACACACCAACAGTCTCCACACAGACGTGAGTCTTCCCCACAGCCCTCAACATTAAAGGGCTATGGGTTGAAGAAATCAGCCACCAATCCTTCTCATAAGTTGAAAAAGAGAGCGGGAAGTCCCCACAGTGAGCCATGAGATAGCCACAAACGATCCCTGTCATGCTCAGTATCCTCAGTACCATCAGCACCGAGACAGGCCAAACCTGGTACCCATGGCTCAAGGAAGACTACGGTGGCAGGTACCATTGATGCACCCACAGACCCAATGGGCATGGGCACCAAGTCAACAGCACCTCAGGAGAAGGACCGGAGTAAACACTCCAAGGCACCACTGGTATGCCATGTCCCATCTGTACCGATGCCTCTTCCAGTACCTGAACAGCCAGTCCGGAGAATATCTCCCCGCCCCCCATCACCGTTCGTCGCACCGAGCCAGTCAGCACCACTGGAATTTTGGCACTCGAGGGACCTCCATTTAGCTGATGTACCAGAGTCTCTCCTTGGCACCAGACCTCTGCACCGGGTCTCCGCTTGACATGGGAGTTTTTCCCGCTGCCTTCCCATGCTCCCCTGCTCTGCAGTGTGGTCTGAGATAGCGGACCAGAGATATTTCAGTACTCATCTCAAGCCCCCTACAGTGCCTGATACCAGCAGGTCCTCCAGGCA